GAGTAATGTTATTTATCATTATGATGATGGAATATCGATGATGTGACAGTCCATGTGAAATAATGTGATTGGACAGTTCAAGTTTTTTGAGAGATAGGGAGCAGACGTGGTCTCAAGAGAGAGAAAAATGGGAGGGACATCTCCGACGTTTGATCATCTCATAAATAACATTGCTCTTGTTTTTAATTTCTGATATAATTTACTGAGGAAGTTACTAAAGACTACATAATTAAGCAATTTGTTGGGGCCTTCTTGTTTTCAAAGAAAAGTGAGCTGATATAATTCTACTTAGCTAGCTTTATTTAGGAGATTCCTCATTCTTTTTATTAGTGCAGAATAAAGGGTTCTTTTTCTTGTTTTGACTTCCATGGATGCCAAGGACGTTAAACTGCTCGACCGCTGGAAAAATAGGATGGACAATGGCCGAAAATTTGATGATCCTTAAGTGTCTTGCTGTTTTATTAGATAAAAGGATTGGATAGAGTTTTGATTAAAGTATTGGAATTTCGGGTACCTTTGCACCGTGTATCGGCCTCGTATTTATAGGAGTTTAGATTGTTGTCTTTGGTGTGACTTACCTTTGATAGTCTGGTATAGAGTAGTATTTGACTATCAGATAAATTAGTCATCAAGTCAAGGTCTGACATGATACAAGGAGCCACAGATAGACCCCACAACTAGGATTGGTTGCTAGCTCGACATTTTTGTTTGGTGGTGAGGTGGTTAGTAGAATTTGAGAGATGTGTATCCGGTGTTTATTCAAACTTAAATGGGTCCCTTTTATCCGGTCGCATAAAAAAGTTAAGATGCCGTGTAGCTAATTATAGATTGATTTTTTTATATGATTGTTGCACGATGAGATTACGTCACACCTATTGTGAAGAATAAGCACCAAATAAAAATTGCTAAAATTCTAATGATAGCAACGTTCACTGCCTAGAGTGGATTTGTCTTTCTATAGTAGCATCCTAATCTGATTATTGATTCTCAGAACTTTTAAATAGGATATGCTCTTATAATGCACACAATTTCGAGTTCTAATATTTCCTAGTTTTTAATAATGATGGCTTTGTACTATTTTTAATTATTTGTGGCATATTATAATAGTGAACACATGAAAAATCCACTAATGGATGCTTATATCCACTAGATTAATTCCACTTAAAGACATTAAATTGTGTTAAGACCCAAGATGGTACTATATCAAGCTGCTAACTACCAAAATAATGTCCCACTTTTGTGCAAATTTAATGGACCATAATCAATATCTTGTTGTTGGACTACTATTTGTTATTTTGTGTGGGGTTGGGTTGGAATATTGGATTTATAGTGAAATAATTGGAATTCGAAATCTACGTAGCTATGGACCATCGATTTGTTTGGTGATATGTACTGTCAAATCATACTCACTTATCAAACACGCTTTTCGTATTGTGATCAATATTTTTGGATTATTCTTTGTTATTATGTGCTCGTGTGTATGTTGGGGGTGGGAGTAAGAGTGGAGAGTTAAATCTAAGAATTCGGGTTTTTTCGAATATTGGATTGGTACTGAAATATTTTGAAGCAAAACCTACGTAGTATGCACGTAGCGTTCTGCTCTCATTATTTATACCGAAGGATGTTTACATCACAATTTACTCTTATGTACCGCTGTGAATTATTGTCGAACAACTCGGAAAAAAGTTATAGCACAAAGTTCTACTGCTCATGTTGAAAGAATCTAATACCTTGATGAGTCAGCCATGAAAAATAAGGTCTAAAGATAATTCTTATATATTCATATATATTTTTTTTTTGCGGCAAAAGCATCATCGATTTTGGCCTATCATTGGACGGTACCATCGTCTTAGCAACAATTTCAACAGTGTCGTAAAATAATGAATGCTCTAAGCATAGAATCTTGCTTTATTTTGCTATATTCTTGTGCAGATTTGCTTTCTTTCAGATTCTTGATTGAGAAAAAACTTGGGTGCTTTTGCTGTTTTTAGGTGGCGGGCTTCTGAAACTCCACGATGACATCCAAACTTGTGGGTACGAGGATGTGCAGATAATGTGGGATATGTTAAGAACGGAAACAGAAATCATGTCTCGCCATGACAAGCGCAAGAATAGATGGTTTTGGAGGAATTTCACGGGGTCGAACCATGGTGAAGCTTCGTCTTTCACAAATCATACTCAATAAGGAACGTTACCTGTGCGGTTCACTTACTAAAACAATAATGCCCTCGTTTGATATGAAGTCGTGCAGAAAGTTTACATACTAATGTTTTTATGAATATGGTACGAGAAAACGTTGGATCTTGAAAGGACTTGTTGACAATGAAGTCATTCGTAAATATACATTATCCTTGAACTACTCTTACTGTCATAAATAAAAACTCTGATGAGCCAATTTAACTCATTGCAAGCATTGATGATTTTGGATCCAAAACTCTGTGTGTGTGAATATAAAAAGATAATATAGGCACAAAATGTTTTGACTTCCAGTATTATTGCTTTAGAGAATCTAAAGATATTTTAAAAGTAAATTCAAACTTGATTAAACATGATTGGAGGCCGATTCGGAGCAGGGATCATGTTCTCGTCCCCACCCCAATTCCCTAACTAACTGGGAAATCCCCGCTCCAAGCCGGTGACGGGGCATTTCGTCATCCCTAAACTTGAGGCCCAACTTCAGATTCTTGGACATAATCAATTGCTTCATATGAATTTTTGGCAATTAGTCAGACCTCAAATTGTTAAAATATTCGAAATTAAGACCAGCTTATAAGTAAGAAGCTAGTATTTTTTGGCTTTGTATCAGGTAGTTATTAAGCTTAAAAGCTATCACAGATTGTCTAACTGAACATAACAAACACAAAGAGACATTAATGGAGGAAATATTAACATGCTATACATATAGAAAGGGATTTTATAAATGGATAATACACAAGTTGCAAATGAGAGGTTTGTAGTGCATGTTAAACACAGAAGTAGGAGCTGTTCTAGCTGTAACTCGTCAAGTTCCCAATTTTATCACACTCCTGATGAAAATTGTGTTGTTTCAGTATTACAACTCTTAAAATCTTTGAGAACCTCTCTGTTCAATCCTCAACAAGATGGCAAAGAATCTATCCATCGTTGTATCTATCTCCATTTCTTGGTGTAATACAAAGTGATGATATTCCAACTACTGCAACCACTGTGGTCCTTCAATCCGTTCTGAAAATACTCCGGCTTGGGATATTTGATGAAAGGACAATCCGGGCAAAAGATGTGATAAATTCAACTATGACAGCGATTACAGATTGTTGTTTGGAGAGAACTAACTCGGATTTTACAGGTCATGACTGCTATTATGAGAGGTTGGGCTTCAGTTTTGCTCACTGATAATGCATCCTGCACCATTGTTAATACTTGTTTCCAGGTGGTTCAGCAATCGGCTAGCAGAGGTGATTTGCTTTAACGCAGCGTGAGGTACATAATGCAATCAGACACTGAGGACAACAATTTGGACTCTGGGTAAGGAATCCGTTCGGCTGTTGATATATTTCATTTCTTGGGTGCTCTCTACTGAATGTAGTGGAAGATATGGAAAGAGGACAGATATCTTAAACTGCAGATGAAAATGTTCAGCTTTTTGCGTTGGTTTTGATCAATTAAGCAATAGAATTGAGTGGAGAGAGCATATGCAAGCACCCGAAGTTTCTGAGAGTGATCCAGGACTATTGGTTGCGTCATTTACCAATATGGTGTGCGCTCGAAGTCCTCTGATTTTATCCATGCTTTTTAGTGCTTTCCTTATGATTATATCACTTCCTTCGCAAGTAAGAACTCATAATCAATAAGCCAATTGTTGGGTAATTTGGGCTTCCCCCAGCTGAGATTAATGCAGAATTACAAAGAAGAAAAATAGCACCAGCAGAATGTTACAATAATAAAGCAAGAAGAAAACTCAGCAACATAGAAGAACATAGACAGATTTTTGTAACAGGAAGATTTCTTCTTCAGCCTTTATTGACAAAAGACCACATCCAATTCAAGATGAATCAGTAGAAGACTTTACAGATTGTTCCTTTCCAATCATTACTTCATACTACAGAGTTTCTATCTCTCTTGAGCTTCCATAGAAGTCATCAGAAAGCTTTTAC